CCCCAGATTTGCGGGAATAAGTATCCACACGGAGGGGGCTCCTTCGCTATTAGATATATAGATGTGGGCCAGATAAACCCTGAGTCTGATACATCTGGGCTCTTACATTTTTATATGTGGCCCCCAGACCGACAGAGCCCGGGGCAGAAGTGTCGAACTCATTTGTTACAAGGGCTGGATCTGACATAAATGTCACTTTGTCGGGCTGGGCCATGTGTGCCATAAAACGTAATGCCAGGTACCAGAGACAGAAACTGTATAAAGGACAGCAATTGGTAAGCTCCGGGTTGGTGTATCCTCACTGCAAGTCCTCATGGGCTGGGAGGGGGGTACGAAAGAAAACCCATATGGGCAGATTAGAGAATCAGCAGCGCAGCACTGGGCAGACACGCCCATGCTGCTTGACTGCTGCAGATGAGGTTGTTCTGCCATGCTGAAGCCACAATCGGAGTGGCTGGGCCCATTCCCCCTCAAGTAGTTTCCTGTTCCCTCCCTTGCACTAGTTCCTCACAGGCCGCATAAGAACCCTGGGTGGGCCGGTTCCAGTCCCTAGGCCTTATGTTTGGCACCCCTAACCTAGAGTGTACTTTTTCAAAACTACTAAGCAAAGAAAAACCAGGACAAGGTCATTCAAGTAGTTTAAGCTGGTAGTAGAGTTAGTTGAATGTCCCCAAATCAAAAGAAGCCAGCATTTACCTGTATTGCAGTAAAGAAGAATGAGCTCATTTTTATCCCAAGTTGTATGCTGTTTGGTTATGATTACGTAGTTTAATAGAGATGTTTAGCAATGAGACATGATGTACAAAATAGCAAATGACATCTATGAGGGTATGCAAACTTAGTCTTATTCAGTCCTTTGAATAAATTACAGTGTTTAAACTCAAGAACTTTTTTTCTTTAGATAACATTTCTTTCTGTTATTGAATGCTGCAAGCCATTAGAATTTGAGGGTTTAAGTCGCTTTTCAGTTCAAGTGAATGCTATCCCAGTCACTACAACATTCCATCAGCTTTGCTTCATATACCAGCAATATACTTACAAACGTGTGTGTTCCTAAGTACCAAATATTAGGTGCAATCTGTATCATGGAGTGTGACCAATGCAATTTCCAAATAATTTCTGTTTCCCTTGCACTCACACAGCAGTTGGAGGAAACTGATTTTTAAGGACTGCCAGACATTGATTCAGCATAGTAGAACAGTGCAAGGGGAGCTCCTCCTTTTCCCATATTGCAGTTCCAAGGGAAACTGGGCTCCTCAGGTAGTGTGTGGCTGCGAGAAAAGCAAGTCAGGCTCTACCCTTTCTCAATGTGAGTGCAGATAGACTGCCTGTTTTCTCATGGACAGCATGAAGAAACCACAGAAGAAATCAATAAATCGACATATAGTGAAGGCCCCGACCTTCCTTTATGGGAGGTCTCTTTCAAAATACTATTACTGTAGCTCTACAGACTTTTTGATCTTTAGCTTTTGTTCACATTGAGGGAGCGAAATTGACCACAATGTATAATATAGATATGGGACAAACTACTTGGCTCAGGAAACTATCCTTTTTTACCCAACAAAAAGAATCAATGAATTATGGGAAATATAAGTACATGCATTTTCTCCTACTTGATTATTCATGTGTAGGGACTGCCTTGGCCAAATAAAAATAACTGCAACAGTTCAACTTAATTACTTCATTTCTTCTTTTCTCATCCACCTTTCTCATGGACACTCAATGTGGACTGCAAAGTTTAAAAAGACAATGCAAAATCATCTATGGTCCCGGTCACACGGGAGGATTTGTTCCGCAAAAGGGACGGATTGGGGGCGCATCAAGCAGGCACGATCACACCGCAACAACTGGGAAGCGGCGCACACCCGTCCCCGATCCGTCCCTTAGGCCCACAAATATGCATCAAAAAGGTACTAGCAAAACAGCAGTACCTACCAGATGATGTGGGCCAACGGAGTGCCGGTAGGCCATCACAGCCAGCGCTGTTCCCCATCCCACGCATGCGCACAACTGCGCTACTGCCGGTTTGCTGCGCACCATGTGATCGGCTGCCGAGGCACAGAGCACGGAGCTGCGGGGGCACATTGGATCGCGTTTCCGTGGTTCTTTTTGCTCCGGCTCTGATTTGCCTCACTTCAGCGGCGGATCATCTGTCTCGTGTGACTGGGACCTATATACTAATAGCCAATTCAGCTAAATCTGAGGATACTTAAATCCAGTGACTGGAGCTGTGAATGGGCAAGATAGATTGTTCTAGAAACCTGAACAACGTCCTATGTCTACAGAAAAATGTGAAATTTAAACAAAATACATTGACAGGAGATTAAAAAACCTGAAAATGATAAAAGGAGCACCTGTAGCTTTGAGTTCAGCAGCTGATATTAGGCAACCACAATATTCCAGGCTTGGTTCTGCCACTAAAAGGCAGGGCCTTTTTAAGGCCTATTGTGTTATTTGAGGGTGGCCTCAGCTTGATATAATGCCATTGAGACCACCCTCGAAAGCAGCCATTTTCTCCAGGGTGATAGATCTTTGTCATCTGGAGTTAACTTGTAATTCTGAGAGATCTCCAGGCCCACCCGGAGATTGGCAACCCTAGGCCTGGAAGCAAACTCTGGGTGACTTGATACCATCTGATATGTATGACTCAATTAGGCCTGGCTGCTTGTTACTGTTCAACAGCAGCTGCCCTATGACAGCCAGTGTGGTGTAGTGGATAGAGCTTCAGATTACAGTCTGGGAGACCCAGGTTCGAATCCCCATCTTGCTGTGGAAGCTCACTGGGTGATTATGGACCAGTCACATACTTTCAACCTAATCTATTTTACAGGGTTGTTGTGAATAAAATGGAATAGAGGCGAATAATGTGAATTGCTTTGGACACCACTGTGGAAAAAGATGGAGTATAAATGAAGTAAACAAGGCACTAAAACTTAAAAACCATGAAATATCAACAGTATGGTGCATTACATGAAATGGATTTCTTAATTACAGAAATTATAATACATTCAGTTACCAATGCAGGATAGAAGGAAAAGAAAGTTGCTTAAAAATTTACAGGCAATTAAATGGAAAGCTAAAGAGTGCCCTTCCTGCTAGGGCTGCCGAGCCCCAGTCAGAGCACAGAATCCACCACCCTGAGCTGTTGCTGCCCTCCTGAATAGTTCTGTTTTACACATTCTGTGAAATGATAGACATGTGGGAGCCTTTCTTACCTGGTCAGGCAGGCCATTCCACCAGTTGGGGGCCGCAGTACTGAAAGCTTGGGTATGGGCTGCCGTTGTTCTTGCCTGTTTGCAGGGTGGCACCCAGGGATGCCAGCCTCCACATGGGACCTGGGGAATCCCCAGAATTACAGTTCATCTCCAGATTACAGAGATCAGTTCCCCTGCGGCAAATGGATGCTTTGGAGAGTGGATTCTCTTGCATCGTACTCTACTGAGGTCCCTGTCCTCCCCAGGCTCCACCCCCAAATCTCCAGGAGTTTCCCAACCTAGATCTGGTAACCCAATGCTGGATCTAACTGGAACATTTGAGCACTGTTTATTACATGTTGCCCAAATTTCACCAGAAATGTTTTAGTCTGATCATAATGACAGTTATATGGCATTTAAAATGATCACAGATCTTTTGTCTGTTAATTTTTTCTGCATTGAGCCACATTATTACCAATACCCCTCCTTAATTTTTATATCCATCCTTCCCTTTTCCATAAGCACCTCAGTTTTTCAGAGACTGAGTAGTACCCTGGCATTCTGGATTTTTATTTACTGTGGTAAATCCAGTGTCATTCTTCTCCCAGATTTAGCCCACCTATAAAAGACCTAACAAAAAATGTTCAGTCACTGTAATGGTAGAGGGAATTGGAACCCCAATGGTGCTGAGGCGGCAAACTGATAACTCTGCAATTAGTTGAAGTAATACAAACACTTTAGATTGAAGGTGCTTCAAGATGGACATTTCCCACAGTGATAGCACCAACCAGGAGTTGAGGCAAGTGGAAATTAAGGAACTTCACTGAAGAAATATCTGGTTTGCATAGCACTTGCTGTGTGATTTCCAGTAATTCTGAAAGCCTGTTTGTTCTAGTAGCCATCCCATACTAGTTGATCATGGGCATCAGGCTTGCTAATTCTACACAGCTGACACTTGCAGAAGGTTCTGAAAATAAATTAAGAGTACAAACATAACACAGATTTCATCATCACTTAATTGTATGTTTGTTTCCAATTAATGTCCCTCAATGAAAGTTATCTATATACTAGTATTAATGCTGTAGCAAGAATGGAAATACCAACCGCTTCTGCTTGGCATAAACCTACTGACCAATCTACTTTTTTGTAAATATAGGCTCTTCATACATGTTCTTTGCTCATATAGAATTATTTAGAACTGAAAAATTGACAAAATGTATTACTTTTAACTTCTCAGTATTCCTGGAAATGGCAAAGGTGCATTAAAGTGCCTACTCAATATTGAGTTTCTGCAAACAAACAAACAGTTTTAGTCAGGCGTCATTTTGTAGAAAAAGAGGTGCAGGAGCTCATTAGCATAACTTATTTGCATATGTCACACCCCCTGACATCACCAGAGGTGTGTCAGAAGGCAACACTCAGGCTCCATTGGACTGTTTGGGATTGCTAGCTATGTGAAGATCTGTCCTCGCAGAGGGAGAGCTTGTACCTGAATAAAACTTGGTCTTAAAGGTGCCACTGGACTGTTTTGTACTAGGGGGCCGGGGGGAGTTCTGCAACTTACCTGGCTGCTTCTTGATCTGACTGAGGGCTGCTGGGAGCAGGGGGTGGTGCTTGTTGCATGTGCCCGCCCCCTGGGTTCTTTACTGCCGGAGCTCCGCTCCTGTGCGGTCCTGCAGGAAATGACCCCTGGTTTTAGGAATTCTCTGAAGTTATCAGTGTTACAACTGTTATTTGTAATTTGATGAATCTATTCTTTTTTTACATTTTGTCAAGAGAACTCACACTTTCTCTTTTAATCTTTAGTATAACATAGAAACAGATCAGTACAGAAGTTGTGATAACGTCTCTGCCAGATCATCAGATAGTGATGTCAGTGATGTGTCAGCCATTTCCCGTACCAGCAGTGCCTCACGTCTCAGCAGCACAAGCTTTATGTCAGAGCAATCTGAGCACCCTAAGGGCAGAATGAGGTGAGTTTGCAATATAGTCAATTCTTCTTTGACTGAAATTTGACGTTGCAGCTGTATATATTTCTCTATAAAATATACAAATGATAATCCCCAGCTGCAAAAAAAAAACCAACCCTAACAACTTTGGGTTCTGATGTTCTTTGGAACAGTTCAATAAGTAAAGCAAAACTGAATCTGAAAAGCTGTAAATATTTAATCAAGTAGGGCTTTCATACAGCTGATCGTTGTTAAACTATAACATTAAAATAATTTTAGCAAATACATAAAAAGGAATTATATGTGGTTGGATACTTCATAGGAGTCCACAGTCTGGAAAACTTTGCTATACAAATACAGGAGATAACAAATGCAATCTCAATTATGTGTTTAGAAGATATTTCATAAACGGTACCACAGATCTTAAGCCTTTTATCTCAGTTGTAGGTGACAAGGGCTGCATTTACTCTTGGCAAGTTCACCTGTTGTGATGCAGTTCAGTTAACAGTATGTAATGTTTGTATATATATGTTACAAAACCTTATATTGCTTTAGAAGACACTGCATTTCCCCCTTTTCTGAAAATTTCTTGGGATTAGTTAAATGGTGCCTGAGCCACATAGGATTAGTTAAGTGTTACCTGAACCACTCTTCCATGAACAGGTACCCAACTGATCTTGCCTATCAAATTGGTGTCCAAACCAAAAATTTACCCCACCCACATAGCTGACTCATTTAAACATTATCTCAGCCTAATGGAATCCTAATAGATTAATGTGAAAGTGGCCTCTGACTGGTGTTCATGCTCCCGTCTCTAGTTCCAGCTCCTGCCAACCTAGCAGTTTGAAAGCAAGAAATTGCAAGCAGATAAATAGGTACCACTTCAGTGGAAGGTAACAGCGTTCCGTGCGCCTTGGTGTTTAGTCTGGAGTTGCAAAGGCCTCGGAGTCTGGCGTCACGATTAAAATGTTGTCAAAGAACAGCTGGACTCCTGGGATGCGTTTGAGGAGACTATCCATGAGGTTTTGGAAAATCCCCAGTGCCACGCTCACCCCAAATTGAAGTCGCCTAAGTCTGAAAGCCCCCCTATGGGTCACTATAGTTTGGGCCTTGACAGTGGCTTTGTCCACCAGCAGCTGTTGGTATGCTTGGGCCAGCTTCCCGAAAACCTGTGCCCCTGCCAGAAATGCCAAGACATGACTGACTACCAGTACTGACTACCAGTACCGGGTACGTGTGGTCCTGGAGTGCCTTGTTAACTGTACACTTGTAGTCTGCACAAATTCTGACATCCCCACTGGGCTTTACAGGTGTGACTATGGGGGTTTTCCACCGGACATGTGGCATGGGTTCTAGCACCCCCTGTTCCATGAGGCGATCAATCTCTGCCTCGATCTTGGGCCGTAGTGCGAATGGGGACCGCCGGGCCTTCATCCGGATGGGTCTAGTTCGAGGGCTACCGGGGGTCCGGAGTAGTGGCTGACCATGCCATCGAACACCCTCAGAAACTCATCGCAGACTGAGTTAAAGTTCTGTGGCTGTACGTGGTTTATGCCTGTCATCCCAAAACCCAGTGGGCTGAACCACGAGAGTCTGAGGAGGCTCACGAATCTCCCTTCTACCACCAGCAATTCTAAGAGTCCATCAAAGTCCTTGTACTACACCCTGAACTTGCCCCACCTCTTGATGGCCACCGGGTTCTTTTGGAAGTCCTGCAGTGTCAGGCCCCGGGGCTGCTGAAAGAGGGGTCCCCTCTGAGGGCAGATCTTCTGCAGGGGTTCTGCAGAGATTATTGAAAATGATGACCCCCGAGTCCAATTCCATCTTGCAGGGGGACCCCTCTATTAATATGGTAACATACATTTTGTTGGGGGCATCTGGGGGCAAGTTCAGTACCTGATGCTGGTTGATGGTGAGGTATGCAAGTCCTCATGGTGGGTGGATGTCTTCTGTCAGGTCCCTCTGGAGTGGCAGGCCCGGGCGATCTGTCCTTGCTTGCTACAGGACCAGCATATTATGGCGTCTCAGAAACGGCATGTTTTCCGCAGCTGGCGCAAGAGGCCTGGGTGACAGGCTTCTCGGGATGTGCGGTCATTGCTGCCGGTGGCTGTGGAGTCTGTTGAGTGGGGGCCCATACCTGCATGATTTCCTCCTCATCCGAGACATTGGAGACTGGGGATGCGCTTGCGAGGTGTACTGTACAACCACGGCGCTCTTGATGCAACTTCTCATATGCCGTAGCTTCCCGTAGGGCCTGGTCCAGTTTCAAGTCCTTGTGGCTAGCGAGCTTGAGCTCCCATAGGCCTACCATGAACTGGTTCAGTAATGTGTCGCTGAGGCTGGGGAATTCACATTGGGTGGCCACCTGGTGAAGGCCCACCAGGAAGTTGGTTGCAGTTTCATCGAGACCCTGGAGGCATGCAAAAAAGTCCAAGTGCTGTGCCATTTTGGTTGGTTTCAGTGCTAAGTGGTTGGTGAGCACCTTTTCCAGTTCTGCGTAGGTGGTCTCTTTAGGAGATTTTGGGGTTAGCAGATCTTTCAGTAGCCGGAGCGACTCTATCCCACATGTGTGGTGTGGCGGCTTGGTGGTTGGAGCGCAGTGGGGTGCTTGTGTCTGCATTGGAGTCTGGCTCACTCAAAAGGTTCCCACCTTCGTCGCCAGTATAATGTACTGAGACTGAGGCATACCGTAGTGATTTCCGCTCATACTTTATTAGTTAAATGGAGAACTTGAGATAACTTGCGGGACCCACGGCCTGCTTATATTCTTGTTCAAACCACACCCAACACACCCACCCACTCCTGTGATAGGCTATACACAATACTACTTTCACTCACTGATTCCCTTTAGGATCCGGACTGGCCAATTGGCGAGTCCTAGGATCCTCTGTTTCTATTGTTGTCGGAAGCGAAGCTCAGCCAGCCACGTGTGAACTCGACCGCGTGTGCAGTCTCGCTTGGTATACAACAAAGCAGATGCAGCTTAAAACCTGAATATACAAATTCCAATACCAAATCTAAAATTTTACACCTAAAATTAGTAAAATGATTAGATATTTTTGTTTAGCAGCTTTTTCCAGAGTCTCATAGCTTGAATAGTAAATGTTGTCACTTTTAAAGAAATTTCTTGGTCCCTATCAGCTAAAAGCTTATTTAAATAAAATCTGGAATCCCTCCCTGGGAACTGGCTACAAATCCGTGATATATAGACCGCTCAAATATTCTGATAAAGTTTACACTCGAGTAGTACATGTTGCCTTGTTTCTATCTTACTCTCCCCACAGATACACCATATCTGCCCTCTGTAACTGCTGAGGGCAGCATATCCACTCTCATAAGACTAAATGCTCTTCTATAGTCAGATCTATTGAGATTCTGAAGGCCATCATCACAACAACTTGATTTAATTTCTCCATGCCTGGAAGACAGCATTTAATCTGCGATAGATTATGCTGCCTCTCAATATCCAAAATGCTTTGTTTTAAAAACAGTTTGATGGAACTATAGTCTATCTGCATCAAAAACTGTTTCGCGAGACCATAAAAGCCCAATTTGAGCTTTGTTTCTTTAACCCAAAATGGTGTTGTGGAGTCCTTCAGAATTGCGCTGGGATGATCTGTGCATAGAGGGCGGCTGCTGACAGACCTGGCTGGCCAACTCACCCTTGATTGGCCCATGCTCCCGTGCTGCACCAGGATTGGTTTGCCTCACCCACAGGCTTCATTCAAGAAGGGGGGCAGGCAAACGCCAGTGCCTGCTCCAGGTGCAGGTACTGGTCTTGCCATCCCACCTCTTGAATGAAACACAACACAAGTTAGGGTTAAGCTGGGAGTTTTATTTATACATAAGCTGATCTGCACCAACACATTAAAGCACGGGTTGCATTAGGCTTGCCCCACAAGCCTCCTAACAGGGCAAGCCCACCCCGGCTCAGAGCCAGGTCCGGCATCCTTCTGGACCTTACTCGTCACAGCCCGCACACCAGTGCATAGAGGGGAAGGAAGGGCACAGATGTTCAGTGATTCCTAGAGAGGAATGATGTCACTTCTGGAAGTGACATCATGCCATCGTCCTGATGGTCATTTTAAAAATTTCAGTTCCTGTTTCTCACCACTGCTCCAGCAGCTTAGTGTGATGGAAAAAATTGCCATCAGGCAACAGCATGATGCACCTTTGGGGGGAAACCCGGAAATTATGCCAGTATGCGCTTGGATTTTCCAGAAATAAAGTTTACGGTGATTACTAGTGAGGTGTGATGTCATCCAACAGAGTGTCAGACTAAGATCTGGAATACCCAGGTTCAAATCCTCCCTCTGCCACTGAAGCTTGATGGCTGCCCTTGGGCCAGTTAAACACTCTTAGCCTAACCTACCTGTCATGACCCCAGAGGGGTCTTTGGTTTTCGCCCAGGGTATCTCCCAAGCCCTTGCTGACTGAGCAATATGGACGTGAATGACCAAAATACATTAAGCAGAACAGGGTTTATTATGAGAACGATTGGGGCAAGGTGCTTCAACCGGGTAACGGGGGAAAACACAAAAGAAAATAAACTTAACGCAGATGCCTTACTTTGGTTCGACTACCAGGCCCTAGCCTGCCTAACTCACTCAGGATTTCCCCCTTCTCCCAGCCTGGCCTGTCCCTCACTGGACCCAGCCGCAGGGAGGCAAAGGACGGGGCTTCTCCTCTTTTCCCTCAGAGAGTCTCCAGCCACCATCAACCATCAGCCAGCAACTCCCTTAACTGTCTCTCCCGGACTTCATTCCCTAACAGACTCTAACGGTCTCTTTAGAATCTTCTCTGACTCTCTCAATGCCTTCTGGGAGTTGTAGGCCTAGCCGCCTCCTACTGCCACCCAGGCCTCTTAGGCTGGCTAGGCCGTACTGGCACAGGCCAGATCATTACACTACCTTACAGAGTTGTTGTGATGGTAAAATGGAAGAGATTAGAACAATTTAAGTCTCTTTGGGTCACTGGGGAGAAAGGTGGGGTATAAATGAAGTAAATAAAAAACTATCAAGCTT